ATTTTTAGCCCTAAAGTCTAAGAGAAAGAGAGATTTAGAGAAAATGTCTTCATGGGAGATGGATTTAAAGAAAAAGAAATAGCCCATGAGGAAGAAATTCATTAGTCAAAGTGCACAAGAGATGCATAACGATATTTTAGCCGTTAGAATTGAAGAAATAACGGAAAAGATCAACAAAATTGAGGCTAGTGTGGTTTTACTTGAGACAAAGGTAAATGAAGTTAATGCCCATCTAGAGCATATTGGAAGGTAATTGAAAATGCAATTTAGTCACACTAGTTATATAGAAGAAGCAGATAAGGCAATGTATCTTAAGTAGAAATGGATTGAACAAGGTTGTATCAGAGCTTGTCACCACCATCCGTTTTATCAACTTTATATTTTCAATGCCCAAGGAGAGACTAATGAAAGACCGAAATTTGTCCCAACAAATGAAGAAGGGAATTAAGTTCAGTGTTAGAGTTTATTTTTTAGGAATCGTTGTTTTATGTGTTAGTGTTGAATCTTGTTTTTGGAGTTTATGCATGTTATGTATTTAATTGTGAATGTCTGTTAAGTGTTTGTATTTAGGAAAATTTTCTCATCCGAGACTATTTGGAATGCAAATTAAGTGTTACTTGTACTTGTACTAGTTCGTAAATGAATATAATTGTTTGTTTGTGTGAAAATTTAGTGTTATTTAGCCTCGAATTGAATTAGTTATATTGGAGAATTTTGAGAAAGAGGAGAGTTTAGGGAGAAGAAAATAGTCATTTTAGTGTTATAAGAACATTTAGGGGCTACTTGTACTTGTACTAAGTTCAGTGTTAGATATAAAATGAGCTACAGAGCTTGAGAATACCAGAGTTTGCCCCTCCAAGGTAAGTGGTGTGTTCTTTTATTTCTTCTTCCTCCTCCCTCCACTTCTCCCTCTAGTTTCCTAGTGCTCAACCCATGAACATGTCTCACATGACAAATTTGAATTCAACACTTTAGTATGCTATATTATAGATCATGTAATTATACTTTACTTTATCAGCTTATAGCCTATTATGTTATAGTTATTGTGATCACACAATGTATTAAATTATAATATATTATATTACAATTATTGTAACTACATTTGTTGAATCAATCTTATATACAAATATATTATGACATTGTCATTGCACATTAGTATGTATATTTTGAGAGTCCCGATTATGAAAAATTATTGCATCATAAATCCTGATACAATTTCACATCACGATTCCAATCAAAACCTATCACAAGTGCAAACAAACCAGCCCCTCATTAGACTCCCAAAATTTACATCAAAACCCCCCCAACGCAATATTTTTTTCTAATTTTATCCCCAATTAGCCTAGCGGAATATCGCCACTACTAAATCGGTGTTTTTCCTCGTTAAAATTTTCACCTTTCCGATCCTCTCGCTGCGGAACGAAGACGTGGCGCCTAATATTTCTTCGTCCATTCCGATCCTCTCGCTGCGGAACGAAGACGTGGCGCAGAAAAATAAAAACATCCAAATACCACCGAGAAAAGAATTGACGGGAAGGAGTTGAATGGCTGCAGCTTCGACGGTGCTCTCCCTCACTCCCGCTTCCCTCAAAACACTAAATACTGGCCCTAGAGCTCCGGTATTTCCGGCAACTCTGCTCGCTAATGGCTCTTCCTCCCAGCGCCGGTGGCTACTCCGTCCGCCTCCCCTCTTCTTCTCACTATAGGCTTCTTCTTCGCCCCATATCCATCTCCGACTTCCCAATTCCTATTAACTTTAGAAAACCTGGATTCAGAAATCAACGCTGCTCTGTTAGACCCCTCCGGAGGAAACTGCTGGCTTCCGCCCGGTGTCGCCGTCTGTTGACGAGCGACGAGGAGGAGGCGGTGGGGGAAAGCTTTTTTGAGGCGATCGGGGAACTTGAGCGGATGATGCGGGATCCTTCGGACGTCCTCGCGGAAATGACGGGCCGGTTATCTGCGCGTGAGCTACAGCTGGTGCTTGTCTACTTCGCGCAGGAGGGGAGGGATTCGTTCTGCGCGCTTGAAGTTTTCGATTGGCTACGAAGGGAGAACCGCGTCGATGGGGAGACGATGGAGTTGATGGTGTCGATAGCCTGCGGGTGGATAGAGCGGATTATTGGTGAAGATCATGATGTAGGCGATATTGTGGCTCTACTGAACGAGATGGATTGCGTTGGATTGGAACCTGGGTTCAACATGGTGGAAAAGGTTGTGTCTTTGTACTGGGACAGGGGGAAGAAGGAGGAGGCCGTGGTGTTTGTGAAGGATGTCATGAGGAGAGAGGGAGCTGGGGTTTATGGTGTTGAGGATGGGTGGAAAAATGGAAGAGGCGGTGCGGTGGGCTACGTTGCCTGGAAGATGATGGTGAGTCTTTAGTTTTCTTACTCTCGTCTCTTGCTATTTGTCCATATTGTTCAACTTATTTTGTTATTTTTTCTGTATCATTGGTTGAGTTACATGCTTATTTATGTATGTGACGCGAATCTCTCGTAGAGCCATTTTTTTCTGTCCGGAGTCCGGACGAAATTGCAAATAGCTTGAGTATCGATAGAGTAATGATGAAAATGATTACCTTTGATTTTGAAATTTGTCATTAATTTCTTGCAGTTTGTCCCTTACGTGAAAAAGGGCATTATTATTTAGGAAAATGTTATATGACAACATGTTGATACAATTATGTCAAGAGGAGAATACGAAGTGCAAAATACTTAAATTTAGAAAACGTTATTTTTGTTAGAAATAGATGATTTATGGTACTGTTTTGTATTTCTATTTAAACTGTCTACTAACTTTGAGAATTTGTTTTCTAACTTTGAACACTTTGTCTTCACATCTTGAGACAAATTATTTCGGGATATGCTCATAAATTTTAGCCCTAGTTCTAACTATTAGTGAAGAAGTTTTTCACTTTCTTCCTATGAAGGACACTTACAAATTTAATGACTATTTTGAATGCAATAATTTTAATATTTGTCCTAAAAATTACTTCACTAGCTCGTAGATGTCATCACTCCCAACTTTTTTTGCATAAGCGTTGCGTGCATAGAAATATTGTCATCATCATGTGATCCCATGAGTAAGGCTCTTAACATTTTTCCCTCATTATTTGGTAAATCAAGACTTTTAATAAAACTTCATGGTCATAAATCATCCCTTTCAATTTGCATAAAATTAGGTATTTTGTCTTGATTTAGGGGTTTCCTTTATATTTACTATGACTTGCTCTGACCGTTCAGTTTATTAGAGTTGGACAATCCCCTAGGATTGCACCTAAATTTTGATAGAATATTAGGGCCACATGAAGTTTTGTTGAATAATAATATTTCATCCAAGTTGAGCAGAATACTAAGGGCATCACTTCAAACCTCAGCAACATACTGTGTTATAATGAATTATTGTAGTTGACATTGTTTGTACTTCTAAAATATCAAGATTGCATCACATGTCAATAGAATAATATGGTTACATGAAAACTTGTTACAATACAAGTGTTATATTCAAGCTCTGCTGGAACAACAAACATGCATCTAAATCCTAATAGATTACTAGTGTTATTGTTGGTCAACCGACAACCCCTTTCCTTGATCTTGGTGGATCACCCTTCCTTCTCTCTAGTCGACATGCTTGTTGATGGATTCTATTGTTATTCCCATCCAGTCTTTGCTAGTTGGATCTGATAAAAAGTTTCAACATTTTTCATCCAAATTCAACCAAAGCTCGATGCCAAAGAGCAGGCTAGGGGAGAAAAAGTTTAGAAAAGTAATTATGTACAATTTTATATTTGTTCTTATTCACGAAGATGTAGAAATAATAGAGATTAAAACACTAAACATCAAGCATGTTAACTGTGTAATCATTTGTTTTTGAAGTTGCAATCTTTTTGGTGGCTTTTCAACAAGTTGTATTTGGAGCTGTAAAGTTTGCCGGGTTTAGGATTTAGCTATTCTCAGCTTCATTGGCATTCTAACCTATCCTCGTTGGCCTTATGGTCTATTTTTCTTAATGTTTTGCAATATATTGTTATCTAAATAACAATGCTATTTAGATAACAATGTTATTTTTTACATTTTTGTGTGTTTGATTTGTTGCTTTCTTTCTGAAAAATGAAATGATATTTTGAATTATTCATAGTGTGACATAGGAGTACTCGGAAACGTATGTTTCCACTCCCTGTTGCAGTACCATGCTTGTTCGCGATCTGCGACAGTCTCTCGACTATGCGAGCCATCGCTTTCACACTTGGAAGGAACCAGTCCATTTTTTTTCGCTGTTGTCGAGTCAGTCTGCCCTCTTGGGTCACTCCTCGCTATCCTATAATTATAGATTTATATTTATGATGTTTTAGGGTTAGTTTTTCATATTTTTCTGTTAGGACAGTCATTAGCGTCCAGGTTTTTCCTTCTACGGTTGTATCCGACGATGACTGGTGATTCATTTGTATCTCGTTCGAGTTGGTGATTGTCCTCTATCCTAACACTCAACTCTCTCTCCACTATTGCCGCAGTCGTTTGCTGCAACCACTGGAAAACGACCACTTTACTATTTTCCTACTGTTGCTACCACCCTCCTCCCCTCTCAATTTTTTGTCCCTTGCCTCCTCGTCACCGTCGTCATCCGAAGGACAATTTGCTCGCTACCTTTCTCGGAGTCTAGCCATCATTTTTGCTGCCATTGCTGTCCCAGCCATACTAACACCTTCTTCCAACCTTTTCAGCAGTCCTGCATCACTGCCGCAGCCCTGCAACTCAGTCACCTTGCCGCACTACCATTGTTCCAGCTACATCGCTGCCACAACCCACCGCATTCCCCTTTTGCAGCAGCCCCACTATACCAGTCTTTGCAACCCCTTATTTAGGAGGCCCAAATCTTCGCTATCAACACCCCCCCCCCCCCACAAAGCATTTTCTTTGGTTGTTTGTTTTCAATTGTTGCAATTTTAATTTTTCGTGAGTCAGTTGTAATTTCCAATTTGAATTCAAAAATAATATTGGCTTTCCTGTTGTTGTTTTGGTTAACTCTGCTATCATGGTTGTTTTATATTTTTTTTCCATTTATTTTCAAACCCTAAAGAACAAGTAAAGTGGCTAGCTTGCAAATTAATATTACCTTATTCTTTTGATTGACCATTAATGTTATTTAGCTTACATCAATGTGAGGGACAACTTCAAGCAAATCATATAAACCAATTGACCTTCTGGTTAATTTAATGAGTTCATTGATTCAGTGCCTCATTAGCAAGATTACTTAATGTTGTTGGGATGCTTTAGCCTGGTTTTAGGGACAAATGGGTTTAAGCCTCTAGATGGTAATGCACTGCTTTTCAAAATCCTTTTGTGCTAGAAGGTTGACATATGGAATTGCAAAATAGAATTCCTCAAGTTATTCGTGCATCCCTTTCACAACTTAAGGATTATCATAGACAATTACATTTGCAGTATGTCCTTTTTTATGTTTGTAATTACAATTTGTTTCATATAGCATAGCATGGCGTTACCAGTTGGACCTTAAATCATTAATCTAGGTTATTTTAATCAACGTTTGACTTACGTATGTCATATTGTAACCTTGATGGACTAATCTTGGTTAATTCAAGTTTTCTTAGAAAATAAGGTTAAATATGAGTGAATCCTAAATTCTCCTTATGATATTTTAAAATGACCTAAGGTTGAGTATATCCAATGTGTGTTTACTGTCAAGGTTATTGTAGTCTTTTTGGAGGGACATTAATTTTGAGCAATGCTAATAGAGTCAATTCTTTAAGCTGTATGTGGTAGTGCACTGCTTTTTAAATCTTGACAAAAGAACCACATGAACAGAGGACTTAGGCTACGTCTTTACTAACATGATATTGTTTTGTGTGTGAATATATTGATACATTGGATATGACATTACTTCTTTGTGAGTTGAAGTCAATTAAAAGTTTGTCGCTCTCAACAATCTATTGTGGAGGGTGGATGCGATTTAATTTTAGCTTTTAAGTAATTAAATTTTAACTTGAATATTTGATTTTTTTGTTTGAATCTCTTAGGTGATTGATTTTAATTTTAGTGTTTTGTTTTGTTATTTTTGGAACTTCATTTGAAAATTGACTCTTTGGTTGAAATTTTCAGTAATACGACCATCACTAGTAGTTTCGTTGCTTGATATGAACTCTGTTGACTTTACTTTTTGTTTGTAAAGAATCGGGTTTAGTATTGACATATGATTGTACATGCACCTTGTTAACTCTATCATGTTTATAGATGATCAAATTCATGTATGTGCACCCTTTCAGTTGAAATTTTAGTCAACACGGACATCATCGGTGATTTAATTGCTTGATTTGAATCTTGTCGATTTTACTTCTTCCTCATGAAGGATTGAGGTTAGTATTGACATATGATTGTATATGAACTTTGTCAATTTTGTTCTGCTTATATATATATA